GAGATCTGAGGCAGAGAGTCCTGAGGTGTGTCATAAAGTTGGCAGTCGACAAGTGTTTTACTTACCTAAAGGTCATTGCTTTGCTGGTTCAACTCTTGATCTATCTGGACATTGTCCCAGTGTTCTCTTCTAGTGTGAGTTGGGTTTTTTTTTTCCAGTCTCAAATTGCGCATATTTTTTAGAAAGGTTAACTGGATGCTAGATTAACCAGAGGTATTCTGTTATTGTGAGTGTTAATGCCTGTTTATCCTGATGGTGGACAGGTCGACTCTATTGGGATTGGCTCCAACAGGCTTCCATTCACAAACCTTTTCTATGGTTCAAAACAAAATATGAATGTTTTTTCTGATACTCGTAGTTAGCAACAAGCTTCTGCAGAAGACTCTCAGCTGTATAAAATGTTGTGTGTATTAACTTTTTTGTCATTTTTATTTAGAATGCAAATCAAATGGCTTTAAATCACCAGTGATTATGACCAATCTGACATTCCCGCAGACTGACATTTGGTGGGGTCGTTTGGTACTTCATAGTGCTCCAGCTTTTTCCTCATTGTGTTATCATCATCAACAGTGTCTGTGTCGGACTGACTCTGGCTGCTTGTATGCGTGGGAGGACCAAACGGCACCCGTCTGCACCCATACAGGCCCATCGCTTAGCATTCCCACCAGCTACAGCGGCTTATTAGATAAAGCAGAGAGTAATGGTGCACATTCACATTAGCAGCGAGCCAGCGATGGACAAGACTAATGCAGAGGAGAAGAGATGTAGAAAAGCCACAGTGAATCTCTGGTATCTTTCAAATGCTTCGCCGTTGTTTTCAGTGCCGACTGGCTGGACTTCGAAGTAAAAAAAGAAAATGTACGGCTCCTGTCCTGTAGTGATTGCTTTGCTCCAGCTTCAATATTTCATATAACAGTGTTAGTTAATATTCTGAGCAGCTTATCCAGCAGCTTTAATCAGAATAAAAAGATGCTGCTCTTGCACACTACAGAGCTCCGCGCTGTAGCAGGGCATAAAAAACTAATAGCATCGCCTTTATGTAACAAAGAAACACAGTCAGTGAAAAACACAGTCTGACTCATTCAGTACATGAGAGAGACAGAGTTCTTTTTCTTTTGGGTGATTATGGCAAATTAGTCTTAGCTGTTTTGATATATTTTCATTACTTTTGTGGAATAATAGGTTGACATTTATCTGTTCTTAACTAAACTTGGAGTTATTACTTTGAAGATGACTTCCTGCTGTTTTTAGTTAACTTTTAGTTCGGCTGCCTTTCAAGAAAAGTTCTGATGTCTTAGCCATCTTTTAGCTTTTTGTGGAATATGTTTAGTTATTTTGCTTTGTGTTTGTCTATTTTAACTATTTCTGGACTAGCTATGTTGACTATAAAAACTTATTTTAAGGCAACCGTTTCTTTGTATTTCTATTTCTAAAACAAATAGTTTTGTTTTTTGTTTTGTTGTATTTTCCCATCCTGTATTAGGCTAACATGGTTTTTTTAACCTCTAAATGTTTCTGCACAATCTCTCAGCTACGTATCTTTCAGCTAATTTAGCTATAGCATGTTCAACAATATGTGGCTTTAAGGGTTATTTACTACAGTATTCAGGTTAACTTTTACCTCCTCATACCTTTTGCTTCCATTTTTATTTTTTTCATCACTGTTCAACTAAGGCTATTCATATATTAGTCTTGTGTCTAACTGTAGAGGACAAGGGAGTTTTGTGAGCTGTGAAAGGCGACAAGGAACTAAATTTCAAAAGCAAACTTAAAGAAAAATGTAGGTTAATTTGCTCTGGGCTCTTGCTGACTTTTGCCACTGCTGCTGTACAGAATAAGAGCTTGTAAGACCATGTTGTAACATGAAGCTCCTCTTTCTTCCCCACCTGAGACGAACCAAGCATAACACCCAATTTCTTCTTTGACCTAAAGGCTGGCAGTAACACAGAGCGACCACTGCATTAGCCTGTGTCTTCTCTGTTTTGACCATATCATTTATTATTCATTGAAAAAGGTTTCCAAAGACACAGCTCAGCATCCCAGTGCGTAACTTAGTTACACGACCGCACTTCTTACATCATTCTCCAAGGGCTCGACCCTCTGTCACTATCTTCTCCACCAACTCTGTATCTTCTGTAACTTGGGACTTACTCTAAAACCTCTTGGCTGTTTTGTCCAAAAATATTTTTTCCTTTTTCTTGCAATGCGATGTCTGACCTCTTTTTTTAAATTTTCTTTCACTCTGCAAAGGTGGGCTTTCACTTTGAAAGCAACCTCTCTCTTGTTGCTGAAGCTCAAATGACTACTTTAAAGAGGTCAGTCTTCTCCAAGCTGAGGTGCGTCATAAAGTTGGCAGGCTGACGTGCTGCCTTATTTTTAATAAAAAAAGAGAGAGAAAGGAAAAAGAAAGAAGGTACAGAATTAATTTGTTATTGAATTTGAAGACATCTCCAGTTGCTTTTTTTATACTGTATAATAGCACAGTCATACACTAATGGAATCCCCTTTGTCCAGGGCTTTTAAGGGTTTCTTGCTGCACAGTAAATGTCCCATTAAAGGCTTCCCCAACCTCTGGGAGCAGCTATCTGAGAACGGTGCAGAGCCTGCAGTCTAGTTCCAAATGTGCTTTCAGCTGTGGATAACCTTGGATGTGATCACACAGCCATTAAGAGTCACGTTCTCGTTCCTGTTGTGGAGCACTCAGCAAAATGTCAGTGCAATTGGAATTTCATTGGGATTTTCCCTTTAAGGTTTTACAAGCTTTCCCCCACGTTACATAGTGAACAGGTCAGCAATATGTAGTATCAGTAGAAGGAGGCAGAGAAACCAGAAGGTAAATCCTTTCAAATATAACATGGGTATGAAACCAACCCACTGTCGCCACCTGATTGGCCTTTGATTAGTTATTGGCAGCCTCTTTAAATTGACTAATGTGGTACACAGCTTCCCCGAGGAGGCTGGAAACAATTATCCAGCTGAGACAGGATCGTTGTCAATCACATGTCAGTAGTTGTTCCCGGGAAACACTGCATGCAAAAGCAGCAGGGACAGATAATGGCAAATCACTGTGAATGAGTGTAAATCCGAAAATGACTTTTAAATTCAAAATTGCTATAAATTTAACAGAAGGGACTGGAATTTTCAGATCTTCTGGAAAGTGAGTTCTAAATAAATAGAAAACATCCTCTGTATCAGCCGAGGATCAACACTGCAGCATCAATACATACAATACAACAGGGAAACAGGCACAAGCGCGCGCACACACACACACACATAGGTCGCTGTGTTTATGATCATCTAACATGGAATATAATCCTAACCAGCCCTGCTCTGCACTGCCCAGAGATGAGATCAGGATACTGGAGACCCCATGTAAACGACCAGCGATTGGATTTCATCAAGGTTGACCTGCCTAATTGTGGACTGAGTCAGAGCAGGAAGGAGATGAGTTAGAGGTAGTAGTGGAGGAGGAAGAGGAAGGTTAGAGAGAGAGAGGGAGAGAGGGATGTCATCATTGGAAGACGTGACAACATAATTATATGACTTCTGAAGCTTTTTCTCATGTGATAATGAGTATAATAAGACTGCAACAACACAAAGACCGGAAGCAAAGTGTATTATTAGTGTATTAACAACAACACTGCTGGTTCTAGTGTCTGTCAATCAGTAAGGCTGTTACTTTTGATCATATGTGTGAAAATATAGAGATAAAAGTTCAGACTTCTGGATTAAAATCATTTCTTATTTCTGCAGGCCGGGGCGTGAAAAGATCACAGCAGGTGATCGATAGACAAGCGAGTATGATTTTACTATTAAACACCAAATAAATAAATAAATAAACACACACATTCTAATTTAGCTATTTTGAACAAGTGTGCATATTTGTTTTTAACTAGGAGTGGCAACAGGCTGAGGAAAACTATGACCTTGGAGGGCAGTCAGATGGCCACTTCCAGCAAACGACTCCCAACTCTGACTTTAAAATCTGGGAATGGAACAGACAATATCATTGTCGTTCTGCTGCAGCAGAAGGCAATCGTAAAAGTTATCTCTGTTGCACAAATATACCACCGTAATGTCTGAAAAGTTCATTTTATTTCAAACCATTCCAACACTGTGTTGCCAGTAAATCCGGTGGATTCAACAAGCTAATGAGCTAACATGTCGATTGCTTTTTGCCAGTCCTAATGCACCGACCGGCACGAGACCAAAGTGTTTAAGAAAAAGCCAGTTTTGAGTTATTGCTTAAACAAAATGCAGACTATTTGGCTTTTCACTGTAGAGTTTGTTGCTGACTGTTATTTCCTCCGTGTGAGAAGGTTTTCTGCACAATCCCTAAAGAGACACATAAACACAGACCAATTACCAAAAAAAAAAAACCCAACAAAAACAAAACTGTTACTAAAACACATCTTACGTGCTTTAACTTCCAATCTTGATGATTTCACAGGTGGAGAACGTCACCCTAATATCAATGTTTACTTTATCCTCCAAAAATAACCGAGTGCCGTATCTCTGTTTAAGACTTTGCCGTTAAAAGACCAGGTTCACCGTGTCGCACTTTGTCGCAGCACAGAAAAAAACAACAGTAGCTGACGTACCTAGCAATTATTGCATCAATGCAAACGGAGTGTAAAGTGAACTGTAGTAGTTCTACGGCTGGTACACTGTGTGTACCGTACATAACGGCTGTAACTCCTTATCTTCGTCTCCGTCTCTGACAGACGCACACAAATCGTTATCCAGAGACAACACGTTGCTCTGTAATTAATTCATCACGGACACGAGAGTGACGGAAACCAGATTGTACCTGCTGAGAGTACACTACACATCTGTCTAATTTCCAAATTGATGAGCTTGTAATTATATTCCCAAGTTAGAGGCAGACTCCAATGAGCTCGCATGTACTGTGGTATGATTCAGTGATTCAGCTTTGAATGTGAGAACAGAGAATGTGAGATGGGGGCAGTGTCATCACACCACCAGTTTCACTCTCCTACCTTGGCAGCCACAGAGGAGCTGGGCTTCTCCAGGAGATCCCACAGCTTCTTCCGTTTGTCTGGGCAGCAGGTGTTATCAAACTCTCCCTCTCCTTCCCGGTCCCTCATCGTCTCTGCCTCCCTCCGTAGCTCTTCATTCATCTGCTCCTTCTTCTGGTGGTAACGTGCCTGGCAGCAGGACTCCAGGTAGATCTCATCAATCCCCCAGTAGTCCAGCTCCTGGCCAAAGGAAAGGGCGCACATCTCCTCCATCATGTGTAACTTACCGGTGCGGTAGAAGTTCAGAATAGAAGTGAAAGCACCGGGGTGCCGGTCAAAGAAGTACTCGTTTTCGTTCAAACTGTAGTCGTCACACACTTCCATCAGGGATTCGTGGGTGTTGCAGTCTCGAAGCTTGCCCAGACGGGTCCTGGGCAGACGATCCAGGGTCCTCCACAGCACCTCGTGGTTCAGACCGCCAACGTTAAGACGGACCCTACGAGAGCGTGCTTTGGTGCGAATGATGTCTATGGGCTCCGGGGGCAGTGATGGAGCACTTTTGATGTTGGGGGGCTTGAGCCCTTCTGGTTCCAGCTTCTCAGCCATGCTGACGGACGGGGAGACGTGTCTTGGGGTGATATTGTGATGAGACGAAAATAAAAAATGGCAAAAACAAAAGGCCAAAAATGTTGAGTTATGTCGGGTCCTCTTTATACAAGTCCCTCCATGGCTGAGAAAACAGAACAGATTTTTTAATTTACAACAGGATATAGAACATAAATCCCCCAACAAAACAATTTAAAGTTAATTTTAAAAATCATCTTAATTCAGCATCATCTGTGTGCCCGTCGGTGCGCTCATACAGAAACATCTGCTGTGGCGTTATTGATCCTGTCGTCACATTTCTACAAAGGTGTTAGGCAGAATCAATCACTTTGTTTTAACAGTCAATATGGCTGCTTTGCTTTGCCTTGCCTCGCTCTCCATTCCAGTCCAGCTCTGCTCTGGCTGTGGCAGTGAGGCAGTGAACTCCTGCTGGAGCACTAGTTTCTGTGCAGCCCATCGGTCAAAATGGGTCTCAGAGGCGAGTCAGTAAGCAAATGGAATGAAGGAAGCCTTAAAATTCAGTTATAGATTATAAGACTGAGTGGAGCAGCCAAGTCCTGGTCTGCTGCTGTTTGCCAAATATCTTTCACTTGCCAGGTTTAATCATTATAGTTCCATTTGATCACAAATATTAAGTCTGTGTATTGTTATTATTTTAAATATAAATAAATGATGGCTCATACCAATAGTTATTATTTTAATTATAAATAAATGATGGCTCATACCAATATAAATAATCAAGGATTAATAAGAAAAAAATATTATTTAAAGCATTAAATCATTGTAGTAAAACTATAATGTCCGCGCTGTGAGATTGTTCCTGAATGCAACAGTTTATATTTACCACCTAAATACTTGGAACACATTTATTTTTCCAAACTGAACGTATATGAGTAGATCAGGAGCCTTAACCAGCATTAAAGTCATCAACTGAGCTGTAGATTATACTCAAGTATCAATAAACTGCTACCTGTTACATTTGGAACATTTTAATGTTTCCAGTAAGATTGTGATGCCTTCATATTCCTGCACCCCCGTGTAACTCAGTCCATTATTTGTCCTGGCATCTTCTCCACTGCGCTCAAAGTACTGACAACATGAAAATACACCATCATCCAGAAAACGAAATAGCCCTACCTTGTCGAGATAAACCACCGTTTGCATGCAAACTCCTCTTGTTCCTCGGGGAGCAGCGGATGGAAAAACGAGCCGGGATACCCGGTTCAGTCAAGCGGCCACGGCTGGAGAAGGGAGCACTCCCCGGGCGCTGCGCAGAGAACGCGCGTCCCACATTGTGTTAAAAAAAACGAGTCGTGTGCGGAAAAAGAAATAAGATCAGAGAAGGAAAAATATGTCGTCCTTTAAAATGAGAACAGACAGCGGAACCGGCTTTGTTTCGCCATCGAAACAGTGTTGTTGAAAGAGTCTTCATCCAAAAGCTGGGAGCGTGCGGAGGAGACGGGCTCCACTGAATCACTGTGGCTGCAGACGTCGTGCGCGTAAAAGGCGACGGGAGGGAACGGGATAAGCGAACTGCAGAGTGTCCCGCTGTACACTACTGAAGGAGGAGCAGGGGCAGGAGCAGGAGATGGAGCAGAAGCAGGAGCAGGCAGAGGGACCACTGAGCCTGCACCAAATCATAAAGATGGGAAAAAAAATGCAGGACACTTGATAAATCTCAGAACCGAGCGACTGGTAGTGTTCATCCTCTCAGAGTAGATATTTACATTTTAATAGTTATTTTATGGTGCAGTTACTGATGCAGACAAGTAGCCAGATCTTAATCATCCTCATAATTTACATATTAAATATATGAGAGTATATATATATAAAGGAGAGTTTACTGTTAATGCAACATTTTTTTAAATAATATAAAATAATATAAATATAATAATCTCACCTTGAAGCCCACTAATGAGGATCAGATATGTCACTGTATTTAAACTGAATGGGACAATCAGAAAAACTGGTGTTTTTTTCCAACTGAGCATGCTGAAATTATTATTGCTAGTGCAATGCAACCTGAGCCGACTGTTCACAAAGGCAGCAATTGGCGTTATAAATATCATACTGGTACAGACCACATCATTTGCCCCTGGGAGACACTAGATATGTTGTATCTCTGGGAATCAAACCCAGGAGTGATTGGTTTCACTTTCTATTATGCTGCAGACTGGGGAGGTTTTTGAACCAGCAATCCCCCAGTTACCAGCTTGGCCCTTTTACCATTGGTAGCATAATGTTCGAGTGTCCATAGGTTCAAATTTCAAAGTTTTATATTAAGGTTTTGATCAGAGTCAAAGTCTCTAAAGATTGGTCCAGGTTTAGTCCGATGGTTCAAATCACGAGGCTAAGGAAACGGAATAAAAACAGGAGAGAAGTCAAAGCCCAGGTTTTTACGGTTGAGGCATTAGTTCGTGTTAAGTCACGGGTCCTGGACTTACGATGGCAATAAAGACGACAGATTGTTTCTATTTAATCCTCAAAGGTTGACTCCTTAATAAAAAAGTTCCAGTCCTTACTCCCCTCCCTCTCACACTCAGGTTCATACTGACCATTACCAGTGCAACAGCCAAGTCTAACTGTATGTGATGCTCCATTTCACCCTGCAGTGGGCAACCTGATCTGCAGAAGACGAGACCACGGCCTGTTCCTTTCAGTCTCGTCCAGGTGGCGGAGCCATCAGCAGTAGGTCACTGATGAAGCCTGGCAGATACACCTCATGCCTCCTTCAAGTAGTAATCAAACCCAACTTCTCTTAGCCATCAATATGTAATGATCTCCCGACCCTGTGGCTTTAAATGAATAAATAGAGATATTAAATTATGTATCCCTTATTATCCCCCAGATCGTTACCTATACCAGTGGCTCCCTCTCTCCCTCTCTCTCTCCCTCTGCCTCCGTCTTCCCCTCTCTAAAAGTTCACATGAACAGTGCTCAATACAGCAATGATATTTCCCTGTAGAGCTTATGTGTCAATTGAACATTTCCCCTTAGCCAAGCACTTTTCCAGAAATTTGATTATACAGTGCATATGTGTAATTGATTTCTCTGCCGTGTTCCTTCCTGCAGTGACAAGTGATCAATACGGCTGCATTGACTAAAAGGGGGCCTCTGCATGTACGTATACTGTGTCTCAACTGTGTGGACACGGTAATGTGAAGGTCAAGACTTTGCCACGATGTCTTCACTCTGACTCTCCAACTCTGTACTGGGGTTGAGAAGCTCACTAAAGGCCATGCCATTCCTTTCTGACATTTTTTTAAGTGAATGGACACCTGTGAGAAAATGAAAACTTTTCACTCAATTATCTTTGAAGAATTCAGTTTTTAACTGTGAGTTTGATGCAGTTTTGTAAAATTATGATTCCATTTATAGAGGAAAAAAAAGTTCGTAGCAATCCTTACAATAGACGTTGTGTTGTTTGTGCCTATACAGTGTGTGGGACTGCTAATCTGTCCAGGGTGTACCCCTCCCTGGTGACTGCTGGGATTAGCTCCTGTTCCCCATGACCCTGAAACGGATTACGCATCAGAAGATGAATGAGTGAATAATTTATGTCTTTGTTTGAATTTGATTTTAGTACGGAGAGTTGAGCAAGGGCAAACTTCTACACGATCAGGAGGAGATTTGATCCTTCTGTTTTTTAACGACACAGTGTCTTTACCAATGAGACGAAGCCGGGGTCTGCAGACTTGCAGAATAGTTTCCCTTGAACCCTTGGCTCCACCTGTGACATTAATTTGGCAGCACTTTACGTACAGAGTTTTTAGCGTCCCTCTGACCCTGAGTTGACTGATGCAAATGATTTCTCCGATGACATAGAAAAGTGCTGACGCTGCATTTCCTAATTACTCGGGATGTGGTAATAAAAAATGATTCGGGGTAACTGACTATGTCCCATTCCACCGGTCATCGTCCAAAGGAATGCGAGGACGTGTGAGGGACAGGCGTAGAATGATGTTGACGCACAGCAATCAGCAGAGCGGGGTCGTTCGCTACTGGTTCGTCTGTTGTGTGTCGTAATCTGATACATTGTGCACTAGATGCTTCCAGCTCGATACTGCATGGCTCCACTGGGGAGTTGAGTCCAGCCCACATCCATCCACGTGGGTGTGTAACTCTGGTTAACAGCCTGATATCTATAATTACAAACTCAGCATACAGAAACGTGTTGATACACAGGCTCATACTGTGGACAGACAGAAGATGGATGATTTTCTGTCTTGTGATGGTGGTCTTCAGGGTGATCACCGTTTTTAAGGTTGTGTATGTGTTTGTGTGTATTTTAAATTCCTGTGCACAACGTAGGCATGTGAGCATGTGTGGGCCGTTGCCATAGCAACCCATGGTGTAGCCTCGTGCCAAAACAAGTGTTTGGGCCGAGGGGCCAGTATGACTCCAGAGTTAGCCTGCTGCCTGCTGTTCTGTGACAGTTATTAAATCAGCTGTTCATTCAATTAACCTCATGGTGTCTGTGTTTTTCTGAGTCTTGTTACAGACTCAACACTGACGACTGGATGATGACTGCAGACACATTCTACATTACACAAAATAAACTAAATTTCCTGCAGTATTCCTTGTAAAGCAATTAACTGTAACAACGCTACTGTACTGGTGCAGTGCAAGGGAGTGGCAGTCACTGTTTTTAATTACATATTCAGTAATGGTACTTGAAAAAAAAGTTACTATTAACAATCCTTATTTATGACTTGCAGTACTGTAGATACTGCAGGCCTGGGCCCTGGACAAGATAAACTAACCCTAACCCCCAATAATGGCCAGCATGAGTACAGGGTTGTTTGTTTGTTTGTTTCAAACTTAAGAGATCTAATCTAATCTAAAATCTATGCTTTTCAATTGAAAGTAATCTGAAAAATCTAACACCATTCACACTCCCGGGGTAGAAGTTTGTCAACATGGAGAATTGTTGCCCATCCAGAGTTTTCCAAATCAGATATTGAGGGCATTTCCAGTGCACAGGCTGCTGAAGGCTGCAGCAGGATTAAGGTCTGGATCCCGACATGGTTCATTCCAAATAAACTTATTTTTTCTCTGCTGAAGCCTTTCTTTGTTTATGTCTGTCGCTGTATTGGTTTTCGTCTCCAAGAAGTGTGTTCTTTTTTTTATATATATTTATTTCTTTTTTAAATCTCCAGCTCTGGAGCAATAGACTGGCATTTGTTACTGTTCAGTATCACTTCTACTTTGAAAACAGCAGGACGTTACCACCACCGCGCTGCACAGAGACTACTGTGTTCTGTCAGTGAAGTACAGAGTGTTTTTGGTACCGAACACAACTCTTAGAATTCTGCAGAAAAACGACCGCAGTTTCACCAGACCTCATGATGATTACGTCATTTTACTGTGGACCAAGACAGAGACTGTGTGATTTAAGTTTCAGGGGTAAAATATTCTATTTTTTTTCAGAGGAGACTTTTTGTCTACAGGCCCAGATAGAAAGACATTTTATTTAATAACCTCATAGATAATGACATATTTCTGATTATTTCCTCTGTGGTGTCAATCACAGGGGTGTTTTATAAATTAGACTCATGTGTATAATTATATGTTTAAATCATAGTGAGTTGCAGCAGCAGAAACAAAGACATTGTCTAAAGTTTTTCCCAGTTATTTTTCAACTTTGAAAATTCTGCCATTGGTTCTTCAGGGTTTATTGTTATATAGAAGAAATCTGTGGAAGCATAAAGACAGATGAAGGTAAAATCCTCAGCCCTGCAGAATAAAACTGTTTGGTACCACAGTCTTCAGTCTCTCATCAGTACCAGAGCAACACAGAGTGGACTGATCCCCCCAGCTGTCCTGTCTCAGAGCCATCACTGACTGCTGCTCCCTTCCACTTCCAGGCGATGATAAAATACATCCATCATTCAAAAAAAAAAAAACCGTCTTGACACACGTGGAGTCTTCAACTCCTGCTTCTGATGATGTCAGCACATCGTCATCATCCTCATCACGGTCATCTGCCCATGACGGACATAAAAAGTGACAAAGTGCAACACATAATTCGTGGGCTAACTTGTTATTGTGAGTTTTCTGTGGTGGTGGAGGAGATGGAGAGAAAGAGAGGAGAAAAGGACTGTAATTTTCTGTGTGCTCCTGCAGGGGGAGGAGGGCAAAAGTCACATTCATTCAAATTACAATAATAAGCATTCAATCAATGCACAGCACTTTTCTATTAATAGAGAGCTGCGACAGATTTGGATGTTTGGAGAGACAAGAAAGGCTTCATAGGGGAGTGAGGGGAGTGAGGGGAGTGAGGGGAGGGGGGAGGCAGTCAGAGTAAAACGCAGACCTACCCACCGTCCTCTTTCTGCGCCGCAGCTTTATATTTTATAATTCCCAGAGGTGTCATCTACTATCAAGTGGACTTAAAAGTTATGGACTCTACATGAGAGGCCACCAAATCTGTGAGTGCGCTGTGATACATCACGTACAAATATGTGTGCGATTGCATCTGTCCGCGTACGTGCGTGTTTGTCAATAAAACGGAGGAAACAAACCGCAGCAGCAGCCTGTTTATTCTCTGTGGTTATTTTTAGCTGCCGGCCATGTCAAGGTCCACAACCACCAGCACCCACCCACAGTGGGCAGCAGTGGCCTTCGATATAATGGCCCGCTGCAGACCAGAGTCATTAATCTGTGTCATCTTTTCATTCATCCCCCAACCCCGACTCACACCTGTTCACATCTGAGGTTGCCAACAACAGCAAACATGTCCAAAATACACACAGCCCATGGACATGGACATGGACAACTGTGGTATTTGGTTGTAAAAAAATTAATTAATAAATAAAATGATGTGGGGTGTCCCTCGGGTTTATGAGACTGTAACATAGAACCTGAACCTGTAGATTCTGGTTTAAACCCATCTGAGTTCTCCACAATAGAACCTCCCCCGGTCCCCCGCCCCGCCTTTTCCACCCATTTTTCCACTATGTGTATGTGTTGTAGGGCCATAGCACCGTGAACACATCACTGTGTGTTTGAAGCTGTTTGCAGGAGACATACAAGCATGATTAATTACGCCACCAACTGTCTGGGTCTGTTTACGTAATACGT